CAATTTACCTCCAACTAGGCAAGCGTTTTAGTGAACAGAAGTTTGTCTCAGTAAGTTAAACTTACATAATAGATGTCTAAATTGGGGGCTTGGAGCCTGTTTTTGTTAATAGTATTAAAACACAGCACAGCTATGCTAATTTGTTTCCTGTATGGCTGTTTTAGCACCATAACAGAGTTGAGCAGTTATGACAGACTGTAAACCCTGAAATGTTTACTATCTGGCCCTTTACAGAAAAACTTGTGCAGACCCCTGATCTAACTCAGTGAATTTGTTTTGGAATTGTTAAGCAGTACTATATTTTATGAAAGTGTTATGCGTCAAAATCTTTTTTTAAAGGGGGGGTTAAGACATTGAATTAAAAGCTAGGTTTTAAAAAGTGAGGTTTGTTTGTAAACGTTCCAGATCAAAACCATTTTCTGCAAAAAGGTTGGAACTGGTTGAATAAAAACTAGGTTTTAAAAAGTGACGTTTGTTTGTGTTGGATAATGTAAAGCTATCAACTTCATTTTGAGTTTTTGTTATATTAAAATGTTACAGTGCCCCATGATTCGGGAGATTTAAATAGAAAAATGTGCTCAGGTGTAATTCTTTGCCTCCAGCAGTTCAGTGTTTTAATTTTAGGGGATGATTTATCCCTACGTCTGACATTTTATAAAAGTTATACTTGCATACAGCATTAGGATAAATGTTGATTTTTATACCATTTGTTTCCATATATTTGATACCACATTTAAAGTGCTATTCTCAGATCCCTTTCGGGTGTTATTTCTTGACCAAGATGAATATTTTCCTGTGCACTGGGCTCTGATTTGCATCCAAACTTGGGCAGAATTGAAAAACTCCCTTTATATAAATCTATTCATCAGCTTCATATTTTTTAGGTCTTTTATGTTTCAGGCTGAACTTGCCCTTCAGAATTGTTGAATAAGTTGAGGCTTTGCTGTAATTCAGAGAGGGGTGGTGGTGATGGTGGTTTCCCTTTCTTTACCTATCAGTTTAGGTTCTCTTTGCCTGTGTCCCAGGTCTTGCTTTTGTATAGCCCATCTTCCTGCTGAGGCCTTTGCATCTATAAAGGTCTGTTCCATCCTTGTAACTGAATTATCAGTGCTAGTTTGACTCAATAGAAAACTCAAGGTTTCATTAAGAGATCTGACCTGTTTTGAATCTGCATCATAGGAAATGCTTAGTGTTTTACCACTATCGTCAGTGTTCTCCAGTTTCATGAGTGTCTTGGGTTTGTTTCATCCATTGTGCTGAGCACTCAGTGGGTCTTGGCATTGTGTAAACATGCTCTTCAATTCTGGGAAATGTTACTGAGCTAGTCCTTCCACATGGCCCTTCACCACCCGTCTTTGTTTTTTTTTTTTTTTTCATTTATTTTTATTAGTTGGAGGCTAATTACTTTACAATATTGTAGTGGTTTTTGTCATACATTGACATGAATTAGCCATGGATTTACATGTATTCCCCATCCCAATCCCCCCTCCCACCTCCCTCTCCACCCAATCCCTCTGGGTCTTCCCAGTGCACCAGGTCTGAGCACTTGTCTCATGCATCCAACCTGGGCTGGTGATCTGTTTCACCCTAGATAATATACATGTTTCGATGCTGTTCTCTCGAAACATCCCACCCTCGCCTTCTCCCACAGAGTCCAAAAGTCTGTTCTGTACATCTGAGTCTCTTTTTCTGTTTTGCATATAGGGTTATCGTTACCATCTTTCTAAATTCCATATATATGTGTTAGTATACTGTAATGGTCTTTATCTTTCTGGATTACTTCACTCTGTATAATGGGCTCCAGTTTCATCCATCTCATTAGAACTGATTCAAATGAATTCTTTTTAATGGCTGAGTAATATTCCATGGTGTATATGTACCACAGCTACCACCCGTCTTTCTGTTCTCTGGAATTGTTATTCGGGTGTGAGCCCTGCACATCCATTTCAGGTTGCTAATTATACTTCGAGCAATTTTACAACTTTCAGCTTTTTTTTTTTTTTTAAGGTTTTAAATTTCAATCAATTTCTAAGGCCACCCCTTCCAACCTGTTACTCCATGGGTTATCTTTTCTTCATCTCTAAGATCATTTGTAACTTTCAAAGTTTTATTTCCTGCAAAATATTTTTCTTTCCTGTTGCTTTGGCCTCTGCCCTTCATCTTCCTCAAATATTTGGTGCTCTTTAGCGCACATTTAGGAGTGGAGCATTTTAAAAGCTGCTTGGATGTTGTGTATAGGGCTGAGGGATGGGGAGGATGGGGACTTGTCAACCATGGGGCTCGCTGCTAGGCAGTCAGGCTGTCTCATTGAGGGACCTGTTGATGCGTTTCTCCCCCACTTGAGTTTATCAGGCTCCCCAGAGAAGTGGTTTTTTTCCATTCTGCTGCCTGGAGGGTAAAACTTGGCTGCCAGTGTTCTGAGATCCCAGTGTCGGGAGAAACCTGAGGGAATTGAACAAGTCAAGTCCTTTCTAACTCCTTTGTTTTCATCACAGTATGC